CTCCTTTTTGCTCCCCATTCTATCCCTTTTGCCCTTTTCTTCTACCCTGCAATCGCTCCTTCCCTAAACTTCACCAAACTGACTTATGGTGTCTGTCCAATCTCCAGTCATTCTCATATTAATCTTCTAAATATCTAACTTATATCATGTAATTTTTCTTCAAGGAAGCCTTTTTTCCTTTTAAATAAACTCTATATTCCTTAATGAGACATTTATTACACTTTACTCTCTGATTTATCTTTCCAGTTTTTCTTCTTTTCCACTTCTTTACACACAAATTTTTGCTCCAATTGAGCAGAAGGACTTAATATCATAAAAATATGCCTTTCAATGAGCCAACTTGGCTTGTTTCACAGCTATTTCTGTTCCTATTTTATCCTTTTTATTTTGCTGTAAGTCCTTAAATGTAAGAATTATGTTGATTCATTTTGACATTCCCTGAAATGCCCAGCATAACATTTCCTATGAGTTATTTAAATAAAGTGTTGAATCATAGACTATGATCTTCTATCTACATCCAGTCTATGTTCTTCTCCAAACAAAGTATGAGCACCAAGAATAGGAAATATGACTCTTAAGAATCCTATATTTCCGATTTCCTAACCCTCTGTTTGTAGGAAATTTATTTGATTCCCTACAGTCCAGTTGTCTTACCTGAAAATATAGATAATGGTGTCACCTCCATCAGATTGGTCTGGGAATTAAAAGAGGAATTAAATTAAATGTTCTTAAAAGAGCACCTGCCACATAGCAAGCACACTGTTAGCTGCTATTATTATATCAAAGCCTCAAATTTTGATCCTGATTTGTTGATTTGAAATTATTCATCCAATTTTGCCCATACTATTAGGATTTTTATTTACTTAGCCAACTGAAAAAACAACTGTATTATTTTATGTCACCCAATCTAGTGTATGGATACCATGATTCATAACTGACCTGGTGGTGGATAAATGACATATCCCAGTCTCTAAAACAATATTTGGCTATGTGGACTATTTTCCTCCTCTAAACAAAAATCTTCATTTGCATGTTTACATTATAAGTAAATGTGCATGAATTCAATTTCTATACATTTTAATGAGCATATTTTACTCACTGAGAAACAAGAAGCCTGTCTTTCTAGTTTTATTTTATCATTGACCTTGTAATACTTCTCCACACTTTAGTTCTCAAATCTGTAAAATAGAGATGCAGTTGAGGTTTAAGATCTCACTCAACTCAATAAGTTGATGATTCTAGCAAAAAAAAAAAAAAAGCATCTGATTTTAAGGAATAAAACCTAGCACTATGGGTACGATGATGGGGTAGAGTAGAAGGTTCAGGATGATGAGAATAGGTACACAATGCTGCTGCTTTCTGATTAAGGAACAACCAAAATATGAGCTTCCTGAGGACAGGAACCACATACTACATTTTGAATTACCCACAGTGTTTACATGATGCATTAAACAAAGTAAGTATTCACTAAATGTTTATTAAATCACTTATCAGTAGTATCTGTAAAGGTCAGAGTCCCACACTCAAGAGCCAAATCTATGCCTATGTCAGCAATCCTAGCCCTTTCAATTTACTATTGGGTGACACTGGTTCTGTTAATTTCTCTCTGTTTAAATTTATGTGGGAGATGAGGATTAAAAATGATAGTGCCATATCCTGGTTTTGTTGTGAAGATTAAGTAAGTTAATATGAACAAAATCCTCAGAACAGTGTCTAATACTTAGTAAATTTTACTATTATTAATGTTACTCTATGCTTATTTATATCAGATATTAGCTTAAAAAGCCATTGGAAGTACACGGATAAAATTTTAAGTGTATTTTATTTCTTTTATATATATGTCATGGAAGATAGATTTTTGCATAATAAAACTTGCCTGAAATGTGAGATGGGGATGAAATCACCCATTATTTTATTATTAAGAATGAGAGTTTGTTGGACTTATTTCTTAAAGTTTTTTTTTTCAGTCCTTTAGAGAGATGATGTTATGATAAACTATTCTAAGAAAAACAATCATCGGATACATATTTTTATAACTGAGAAAGTTGTTAGTATTATAGGAGAATGTTAGAAGTTTTAACCAAAGTTTGCAACTCTAACTTGTAACATGAAATCTTAAGTAGCACGGAGACTGCTCCTGAGCAGCTGTATAGTGTGTATGTAAGTTTGATTATTTTTTAATATCTTGTTGTTGTTGTTGTTGAGATGGGGTCTTGCTATGTTTCCCAGGTTGGTTGCAAACTCCTGGGCTCAAGTGATTCTCCACTCTCAGCTTCTTGAGTAGCTGGTACTACAGGAATGTATCACTGTACTTGGTTCTAAGTTTGATCATTTTAAAATCAAAAACTACTACTAAAGAAGTAACTGTTAGTTAACAAAGTCTTGGTGTGTTGAACCTGAGGATTTTTTTGTTTTTGTTTTTGTTGTTTTTTTTTAAGTGAAAAAAGTTGCTATGTAAAAGTTGCTAGTTAGTCCCAGAAACTAACTAGCAAGGTGCTCTCAATTTCTGGGGAAGGTATCCCAGCGGATGCCCCTCTTAATTATGCAAATGTAGGGCAAATGGTCACCTATTGTCCATGATGAAGGTTGACCAGACTACTGCCTGGCTTGACAATGGCCATCCTTCTCCAGAATTCCTTTGTGTAGAGTCAGGTATATTGGACCTCACTTCTCTTCCATTTTGAGGTTTGACATAATTAAAACCTCTCTAGATGGAAGTCAGCTGGCAGGAAAATAATGTCAAAGGCCTCCAAAGGGGAACTTGCCCTTAGAGATCAAGAATAGAAACATGATGATGTGGACACAATACCAGGAAGCAGATTTTGCTCTGTCACAGTGCATAGCTGAGGCTGGACCCTGTCTCCTCCTTCCCCCTCACCAACCACTTTCGCACAGCACATGTTCTTTGGTATTGGAAGCACGGACTGCAGATGTGACTGCAGCTTGAAAAACTGCCCTTTTGAGAATTTAAGAGTGAAGACTCATTATTAAATCAAAATTCTTGAGACCAAAAGATCTCTGAAAAAAAAATTTATTGAGCCATTACATAGCTACTAGTCAGAAAGAAAAGATCAGTCTTAAGATTAAGTGCCTTGAGCTACTACCAACAAGGCTAAATAGCAGCCGGGAAAATGTCTACCAGATCTAAATAGTGGGAATGTTGTATAATAAAATTTGGGGGCAAAGAAAGTATAAATTACTTACAATGAACCTACATTGATCATAGATAAGAGGATGGGACAAAGCAAAGCAGGCAAAGTTTTGGCATAGGAGGATAGTGTTGCTCCCTGATTGGTTGGCACTATAAGCAGAATGTGATGGCACCTGGAAGTTAGACCTCAAGAGTTATCAGTCTTTGTTTAGAAGTGTGGAGCAATTTTTGTTTTCTTGTTTGTTTTTCTTTTTCTTTCTTTCTTTTTTTTTTTTTTTTAACATCTCAGAATTTTCCTCCTGTCATGTACTGAGGTCTTTGCTGCCACTTGAACAACATTCACAGTACCCAATAAAGATCTTTTGGCTGTGTGGGACCAGTTTGTAACAGGGCCACAAACGAATCTGAACGCTAGACTCCCTAGCCCTGGCACATTCATTACTTCACTTTCAGAAGGCATTTGGAAGCAGAATGGCCTTTCTAGAAAGAAAAAACTGAGTTACCTGAGAACAACTCAATTGTGAAGTAGCAGCCGATGCCTCTAGAAAAAAAAACTGGACTTTTGCTCATCTGGCGTAGGAAGCATGAAATGGTTTTAATTTGAAGGAGAAAGATATTGATCCTTCATCTTACTTTGAATTGCTTATACCGATTTTAGCGGCTTTGCCAAATTGGTGGGACAATGTTTGTTTAAAAAAGGTTTAAAGATGACTCTGATGATATTTCTGCACATGCCTGGAAAATTTTATGTAGTTACAAATCAATACTTGTCATATATATTAGGCAAGATTTTAATTTTAGCTTGACAATGGAGAACCAAATTTTTTTTCCTAGTTTCTGAAGGTGTTTTTAAAATCAAGAAGCCCAAAGTATCATTTCATATACAAATAGAGGTATTCAAATCTGATTCCTAAGGTACCTTCTTCAGAAGAACAAAGACAAGTCTCTGGCTCTTCACAAGCTTTGAGAATTGAATCCACCATTCACATCATTCTTTGAGAACTGTTTCACACAGTTTTAAACTAAGGGAAACAATCACTTCACAAGCAAGGAGCCAGACAGTTCACTTCTCTGGTCCTGATGTGGTTAGGATGATTTCTATCTTTGCAACACTTTTGCATCATAGTGATATACATATAAAATGGTGCTAAATTTGTTATTTCAAGAAGAGGAAGCATTTCAAAGACCATAGATTAGCCCTGGACCTCATTGTGCTGTATATATTCCTGCATGGTGGACTTTGAAGTCAGTGTGTTCCTGTCTCTACTGTGTGACCAGAGGACAAATCACTTAACAACGCTAACCTTTATTTGTATGATGAAGCAAATTATGAAACTGCTTATGAAACTGTTTTAAAATTTATTAAACACCACATACAAAACCACAACTGCCCGAAGCTTGGTAAGTCCTCAACAAACGGTATCTAAATGAATTATTGAGAACAGGGGCGAAGTTGGTTGTGGTAATCAGTTATTTAAAAAAAAAAAAAAAACAAAAGAAATCTACCAAGCACAGTGTTTAGCAAATAAGAGCTGCACAATCGGAGTCACAGCTCCTATTTATGTTTGGCCAAAGTAGTAGAAAATAAATGAGAGGAGAAGAAAAGGGAAGTGGGAAAATGTGAACGAATAGAAGATGAAAAGAATGAGTGGGAAGCAAAGAAAAAAGGGGTTTTCAGGGGGAAAAAAGGGTCACCAGGATAGAGTTAGAAGAGGTAAGATCCGTCGCTCCCAGGCTGGCCTCCCGGGGGCGTAGTTAGAGGCAGAGCTGCAGCGACAGGGCGGGGCATCAAGGAGACCACGCCCCCACGGGCAGGCCTTATGAAGGCGGGACTTCCTGTCGTGGGCAGCCACTCCACATCCGGAAGACTTGAGCCGCGTCCAAGGTAGCTGGCAGCTGAGAGAGGAGATCGCCCTACCACCTTCCGAGGTGAGACCGCTTTTGTTCCGGGTTGGGTGGGCGCTGAGGGCTGGGAGGACTCGGAGCGGCCTCTCTCGCACGGCCTCCGGCGCGGGCTCAGCGCCCTGGGCGAAGGCCGCAGCGGAGGCCACCTCTTTGCTGCACCGTTATCCCGGGCCGCCTCTGAGTGAAAGCAGAAACAGCCAAACCATTAGTGAAGTGGCTTCGCCTGCGCAATCTTACTTAATCCTCGAGGCACTTTATGTAGGGTAATTGCTCAGTTCGCATTTTCACGGACTTCAAAGGAGCTCCCAGACCTGGCACATTGCCAGGGTCGTATCGTCAAGAGTGTAAGCGAGGGGGGCTTGGCCACAGCTCCTGTGCTGTCCAGGGTCGCGCTGCTGGGGACAGGTGGCAGTAAATTGGTGTGACTTCCACCCCGGCAAGGCTGATCAGAAACAGAGACGGTTGGAAACGTTTCAGGTATATAAAGCTTTGAGAAAGTGAAGGGTCATAAAATCCAGCCCTTGTGAAACCAGTATTCTTGAGACCGAGAGATCTCCGAACCAAAAGGATTTATTGAGCCATTTATAGTTGCTCACCGGAAAAAGGACCAGGACCTGGGAAAAGTTTCTTAAAATTACCAGCAACGAGGCTAGGTTGGAAAAAACTTCCCTGGGACCTAGAGTTAAGAGAATTTTTAGATGTTGGTTTCACACACATCCCCAAACCGTTTACTAATTAACTGTAATTATCTCTTCTTTCTGACTCTTGTAATAAATTTTAGGTCATCTCAGAATTTCCCTTAGCATCAAGAAATGTACTCAAACTGGTTGAGAAGATACAGTATGCATACAAATGTAAGGAAGACATTGTTGAGTGCCCTAAAAATGATATCCAAAGTTTTGTGGGTTCTTCCAGGCCAAGGCTCCAGGATTCTCATTAAGATTCAGAACCTCAGTTGCTGCTTACTCAAATGACTTACATATTTATATCTTCAGGGCATACTTCTCTGAGCTCAGGGTTTAACTAGCTAATTGTCATTGTCACTGGATTTCACAGAAGTGCTTCTGCCACACTAATTAAACTCTTAATCTTCTGGTCTCCTAACTCCTGAACTTGACTCTTCTGTTGCTTCCCTTTTCAGTAGGTGTCATCATTATCTATTCAGTTGCCAGAGTGAAAAGTGGACATTCTTCAGCTCTTCTGTCCTCACACTCCATGTCTGATCTGTTACCAAGTCTCCCTAGTTTTATTCCACAAAGCAGATCTCTTGACTCTTGAGTTTCTCTGCCTGTAAAACTTCTCTCCCTAGGTTTAAGCCAACCATTGGGTCTCCTCTGGACTCTTGCATCCTGAAGCTAAAAGTCCTAACATGTTTGTACACATTCATTCTTTGCTTTTCCCTTTACCATCCAATTCATTCTGTTTAGTAGCCACATTGAAATGATTCTTCATGGCTGTCATATTAAGTAAGGAGTGATTCTACTGCCTCCCCTAGCCTTATCTCTTCCTATTTCCTTGGATCTCTGAGCTATCATGTTTGGGTGCATGTTTCATGCATCAAGAGACCTGAGTAGAGTTAGTTGATGCCTATTCACTTGTCTTTTGTATCTTAGTTTAATCATATCCTCAGGGAAGCCTTATTGGATACCTAAGTTCAGTCAAAGCCCCCCTGTTATATGCTTCTCATTGTATTTCTTCTGCTTAGCTTATATAATATTTATGATTTTTCATGTAATCTGTGATTTTTTAAATTGACATTGACTCCCTATTAGAAAGTAAATGAATGGGACCTGGTTTTACTCACCATAGTGTGTATACAGCATATAATAGGTATTCATCAATTGTTTGTGGAATGATTAAACAACTTCTGGGTGGAGAATTCCTAAAAGAAAAGGTGGTGTTTTGAAGTGAGCCTTGAGGAATTGAATAAGAATTAGATTTTACCAGAGTCCAAGGCCAGAGACTTATTTCTGGGGATTCAGCCAATCAGATGTAACCAGTGTTTAGTCCTGTCTTCTAGGGGCTAACTTTGAGGTTTTATAGAAAGGGGAATGAGGGCAGGGGTTGGGGATTTGCATAGCTGGAGCCTTTTCACAGCTGCCAAAGGAATTGTGGTCTAGTCCACCACCACATCAGGTTTGATCAGGGAGGGCTTTGTGGCTTCATCTTTTCACAAAGTGTTTATTGATCTGAACTTCTTCCTGGAATCCTAGGTGACTCATCCTCAAAGATGGATACAAAATGGAGGCAGAGATTCCAACTCTTTAATCCTGTTTTTAGCAACCCATCCAGCATTTGCAGATAAAAGTGAAGAATCTGAGCTCTTGATACAATATTAGTGCAATCAGAAGGTGAAGTGGGAGACTTGAGCAAAGTAATGGGAAGAAGCAGACACACACAGCCCAAGGATTCTACTTCTGATGAGAAAAGAGAGTGGGAGGGGGAGTGGAATAAAGTTTGGATACTATTCTTGAAGACTTCTAAGCAGTTACTTATATAACTCAAAAAGTGACCTCCTTTTAAAAATTCTTTAAATGTTTATCTCAGGAAGAAAAAACAACCAGCAGAAGCCCTATATGTCCCTTGCCTTCCCCTGTTCTTGTTTCACTTCTCCTGTAATGTAAGCAATATAATATGGATTTCTGAGTAGTATTCAAGATGAAACAGTCTGTTCTCAATTTTAAAAGAGGAAAAATTTAAGATTGCTCATAAAGAGTGCCAGATTTTCTGAGTATGTCAGCTTAAAATGCTTCTCTGTGCTAGGCAGACCACTTGACCACTTTGGAGTGTGGTCAAGCAGTAGTGAATCTTCAGAAGTCAGTGGAAAGTTGGACAGGTCACAATACAAAACTATGATTTTTTTTTCCTCTCTGTAAAACTCAGGGAAATAAATTTAATTTTTTTAACTATATTTTTAGTCCTGGAATCTTCTCTCAGAATCCAAATAGAGAAGTCGACTTTAAAATCAGAATTGAAATCAATTTCTGTCTTTATCATCTTTCTATATAGTCTTATTTCTCACCTCTGAACCTTAAATTTTTTATCTTTACAAAAACCTTATTTTAAAAAATTGTTGTTTTAAGCACCTGTCTGGCTTTTGTTAGTACGTGTGCCTTTTGTTCCTTATTTTCAAAGCTTCTTTTATTTAAGTATTTTCTTTTTTTTCTTATTTTTGTTCTCCACCCAACCATATACCTCTCTTTTTCATTCTCCAAACCAGTAGGTTTTTTAAGGTTTTTGTTTGTTTTTTTTTTTTAATCTAATATGGTATGGACACCTAGGGAGATGATATCATAGTCTGTTTTTTGTGATAAAAATGTTTCTATAATAGATGTGAAGTGTTAGATAAAAAATGATTTTTACTGGACCTACAAGTAAATTTTTGGCAAAAAATGAACGTTAAAATAGGGGAGGGGGTGAATCTTGGAATGAAAATCTTCTGCTAATTGAGATGCTTTTGTAAACTAACTGTTATATGATTAAAACTATCAGAGATTAGTAACTACTATGTCCTTCTATGTGTTAGATATAATCAGAAGATGGCTGATCCGTGGCAGGAATGCATGGATTATGCAGTAACCCTAGCAAGACAAGCTGGAGAGGTACAAATTAAAATTTTGTCCACCAAAATGAGATATAGTAGAGCATGATTGCCTTGTTAGATAAAACATGTATTTTGATTATTTTACATTTGCTTTCATTTTAATGAACTCTTTTAAATAGAGAGACTATTTCAGTTTATATCATTAAACATTCTGTGATGACAGTTAAGAATCTAAAATAGGAGGTAAGGTTATATAAGTTTGTGCTGAGAAGGTCATAGCCATTAAAGAGTTATTTTATAACAATTTTTGTAAGTGAATGTTTTAAATCCTATTACAGTATTTTATCTTTTTGTTTGATTTAAAATTACTTATGACTTTTCTGTTTGTTTACCAAAAAATCTTTTTAGGTGATCTGTGAAGCTCTAAAATGTGAAATGAATGTTATGATTAAAAGTTCTCCGGCTGATTTGGTAACTGCTACAGACCAAAAAGTTGAAAAAATGCTTATCTCTTCCATAAAGGAAAAGTATCCATCTCACAGGTATTTCTTATATCAATTTCCAATGATAATAAGAAGCCTAGGTTGGAGTTAATGTATTAGACAAAAATTTTAATTCTAGACACAGAACCTGACTTTAGTTAATTTAATCTGAAAAGGAATTTATTTTGAGGGTTTTGGGCAGCTCAGGCCAGGAAGAGGGAAGAAGGCATACTTATAGATAATACAGCAACCATTGTTTAGGGTATCTCTGGCCTTACCCTTGACTGATGGTTTTGAATACTTTCTACCCAGTCTTATGTCTTTACCTCATTGGTTTAAGATTACAAATTCTGGGCAGCAGCATGTGATTATTAAGCTTAGGTTGTTTGTGCTCTAAGTGCCAGAGATCAGGGAAAAGGGAAGAAAATTTGGATTCTTTCATAATAAGAGGAACATTTGGATGTTAGGAGGCAAAAATCTGCTATAGGCATGATTTTAAAGCTCAGTTATGTTTTCTATATTGTAAACTTCTTTATATGTTACAGTAGTGGTAGCTTGTGGGAGCTTAAAAGAAAATCCTAAAATCAGGGCTCTCAGGTACAGAAATATAGTAGAGACATTTTCATCATTTTTAAGTTATAGCACTGTACTTACTTTAGAGTCCACTGTGCTTCTGTACTTTTTCCTAGTCATGCCATTGGCCTTTCCTGGTCTCTTAAACATTAAAGCTGTGGCTAAAGATAATGTCTCCAGTAAAAAGGTTTACAGTTAACAGAAAAAGATTAAAAAAGAAAACATGACAAGTGATTGTTAGGATAGTTCAGTATTAAAAAATGGAAAATAATAAAATAGGAATAAAGTATACCAATAAATTCAGACATCACTTGTGAAATTTACCGAAGATTTCTTGTATAGTTGTTTTAAGAAGGCATGTATACACAGCAATTTTTATGGGTGATTTACTTTCTCATTAATGTATTTAATATCCTCTGATATTTATTACTGCAGAGGAAATTACTCTAAAAACTTAAAGCTCTAGACATTTTTATCCTATTGTACTTAAGTTGAGGCCAAGATCTCATGAAGCTACAGTCAAAAGTGTCAGTCAAAGCTGCGGTCATCACAAGGCTGGACTAGGGCTGAAGTATCCATTCATTTCTGTGGTTGTTGGCAGACTTCAGCGCCTTGTGGTTTGTTGTCTAGCAGCTTCCCTCAGGTCCTCACTATGTGGGCCTCTTCTCTAAGCAGCTCATAACACAACAGGTTTGTCCTCAAAGATGGAAATCACAGGGCCATTTTGTGAGAAGTCTTCAAAGTTGTTCACTGTCACTTTTACTTTATTCTGTTAGTTAGAAACAACTGTGTCCAGCTCACACTCAAAAAAAATGAGTAGAGAATTTATAGACTTTATTGTAAAATTATATTTCCTACTGATTTCTCATCTGCAATAAATGTCCTTTTTGGGGCTGGGATGTGGCTCAAGCGGTAGCGCGCTCACCTGGCATGCGTGCGGTCTGGGTTCGATCCTCAGCACCACATACAAACAAAGATGTTGTGTCTGCCGAAAACTAAAAAAAAATAAAATATTAAAATTCTCTCTCTCTCTCTGTCTCTCCTTCTCTCACTCTCTTTTAATAAATAAATAAATAAATAAATGTCCTTTTTAGGTGCTTGTGTGTGTGTACAGATGTGTGCCATTACATACCCTGCCATTTTATTTTAGAATTATGAATCTGTAACTTTTTCTCTTTTTTAAAATTTGTTCTTTATAGATATACATGACAGTAGAGTATTGTTGGACATATTATACACACATGGTGTATATCTTCTCGTGGTTGTAAATGATGTGGAATTACAGTGGTTGTATATTCATATATGAACATAGGAAAGTTATGTCTGATTCATTCTACTGTCTTTCCTATTCCTATCCCCCCTTTCTTCCCTTCATTCCCTTTTGTCTAATCCAATGAACTTCTATTGAATCTGTAACTTCATATGCCTTTGCTCTGGGAGAAATAAAGCTTTGTCACTTTTATTAGGTTTCACAGAAAGAACAAAGAAGCAACAGTGGAAAAATAATGTACAGTTTTGGTTATGTTTTATAGTCCGTTCTTGTGGTAAAGAAATATTCTTGTTTGATAACTGTTGGAAACAATGTAGAGATTAGAAGTTTGTCTTTCTTGCTTTTAGTTTCATTGGTGAGGAATCTGTGGCAGCTGGGGAAAAAAGTATCTTGACTGATAACCCCACATGGATCATTGACCCTATTGATGGAACAACTAACTTTGTACATAGGTATGTTTTTAATTTTTAATATAATTACTGTTTGTATATTAACTGGGTGGAACTTCAGAATATTCCAAGAAACATACATACTTTAGAGAGTTGTATAATTTGTTTATGCTTCTTTATTCTAAAGAAATGTATATTTTAATAGTAGAGCAAAACGTATTATGTGGACTTTTAATCATATATAGAGGAGGTGAAGAAACAGTAAAAATGTTGTAGACTTGTAGAAAGTGCAATGTAGAAAACTAATGAAAGGTCATTAATGGAGTGTTGTCCGTATAGAATGAATTCAGTTCAAGAGGGAAAATAGTGTTAAAAGTGCACAAATTTTAGAATCAGCAGACTTGGACTTGAATTCTGGTGCTTTTTAAATTCTTTTTATGACCATAGGCAAGATAGTTAATCTTTGTAGGCCTCAATTTTTAAAAGATTTCTTTTAAATCTTTCTTAATCTTTGTAAGCCTCAGTTTTTTAAGATTTCCTTTTTTATATTAATGGCACCTCTTTGTTGTTGGGATTCATTGAGTAGTTCGTTTATATAAGAATTTAGTAAATATTTTGCAGCTTAGTGTATTATCATTAGAAGAAAGCCTGATGAAATTGGAGAGTTAAAGTTAGTACCTAGTTTGATGGGATTGCACATAAATAAATGTTGTATTTGAACTTGTCTTGTAGCTGCTGTGTCTGTACCACATACAGAATCTTGTTAAATATAAAGTTAAGGTCTAGAATCTAAATGTGATAGAATGTTGTATCTTTAAAATGTGGAAAGCAGCTCATAATATATTGTAACATAAGAAGATAATACAGTGCATACAGTGGGATTCAAGTATTTAATACTTGAGAGTTTTTATTTTCAGTAGTTACATTGAACCTATTTTGTTATTAATTCTGATTCTCTTATGAGTAAGATATTAGAACCCCTCTGTTCAAACTGTTAGCAGCCATAAGTAATCACTGTGGCCAGCAGTTTATTTTTTAAACGTGAAGCTCTGAGCTTGGCATTGGATTACAGATAAGCAACAACTATTTATTCTGTAGAATTGCTTTTATCACAGGTTCAGGCTGTGAGGGAAATGAACAAAAAAAAGGGCTGAGCATACAGCCCCTTCTTTTAACCAGGATCAATTTAAACTTTTTTCCAATTTATTTTTATTTTATGAAAAGAATATTTTACATACTTACTATATTCATGGTATTTGACCTTCATCAAATGGAAAATGGCATGCAGTGCAAAGTGTACTTCACACTTTATTCCCTGATTTCTCAACATCTGTTTATGGAAATGACAGTTATCATCAGTTTCTTGTGATTCCTTACAGATATGTTTCATGCCTGCAGAGGCTTTCTGTATGTATGAATATAAATATATGTGTATATATACTGCTTCTTCCCTTCCTCCTATTTACATACTCTATAAACTTAATTGGGGAAAGAGGGATGAGCCTTTGTATGAAAAACTTTGTAAGCACTTATGAAAAAGGTGGATTTTATTAAAATTAAATTCTGTCTTGGTAAATTTGTGGGTTTTGTCTCTTTTTTTAAGATTTCCTTTTGTAGCTGTTTCGATTGGCTTTGTTGTAAATAAAAAGGTATGTTGTTTTAAATGTACCATTCATAAAATGCCTTGCTATCATATTCTGAGGAAGAGTCAATGTATCTCTTTAATAGTTCAGATTTGTCTCTAGATTCAGTTTATATAATTGTTTAACTTTTAATATAAACTATAGAACTATTAAAATTTTCATAATCCATTTCCAGTGAAGAAAATTTAATGTTTTCTGAGAAGCAGGAATTGTAAGAAGAAAATGGACACAAGTAAATGAAATTCAATTTAGTATCTAATCACCATTATATATGTGATAGAATCAGATAATGATAGCAGTTGATGTGATCTTAAATGCTGCCTGGAAGAGGTGAGGTTTGGGAGCTAGGAATACTTTAGTAGGTACTAGTGAATAGAGATATTCAAAGTCTAGAAAGGAGCAAGAGCCAAAGCATGGTTGGAAAATGTGGACCTAAACATTGAATACCTACATCCAGAACTCAATTGAGTAAAATCCATACCTATAGCCTTTCTTTGCTGATTGACTCCTTGACTATCTAAACAGTAAAGGATATGTACTGACATCTATCTTCAAGGAGCTTGTATATTATATCAGCATGTATAAAACAGTTAAGAAATTTCTGAAAATAAAAACACAAATTAGTTGAAATCTTAGCTACAGGATTGTATTAAAAAGTGAGAACATCCCAAAGGAACTATTTGAGCATTGAGCATATAATTAGCTTTGGGGCTATATGCTGACCCTGCTGTTGAACTCATACTTCAGGGCAGTGGGACACACAAGAAGATATGAACAATTCTGCATGTTGTGGGTTGGGGAAATATTTCTACCAGAAGGGGTCTTAGAAGTTAGTTATGTGAGTTGCTACTTAGAAAATTAAAAATTTGCCAAATAAAAAAGAAAAGGAAAGCATTTCAATCAGAAACAATAGTTTGGAGAGGTTGAAGAAGCGATTTTTTAGTGATTTTTTGACCCCTGAGGTTTCTGTAAGACAAGGTGTGAAAGCATATGCTCTCAGTCTGTAGTGATGGGTTGATGGGAACCAAAGTTTTTAGTGGTAGCTGAATTTGTCAATTGAAATGGACCAATCTGTAAGAATATGGAGAGCTAAAAGGGCAAAGGAAGTAATGGAAGTTGGGGAAATACCCTAGGTATGGAAACACCCCAGTTACACAGCTTTTAGGGAGAAGATTATAAAATCATGACACTGGGATGGATTTGTGAGTGAGGTACAAACAAGAGAGCCAGGAGCACACAGGTGTCAGACTAAGTATCGAAGTATTGATGATAGCTAGCAGCCTCCAATTCTGTAGATAAGGCATTTGGTCAGTAAGAATAAGATTAGGGATCAGTTGATTGAGGAGTGGATGAGAAAGTAGAAACACAGGAGAGCATTTTCACCCTAGCAAATTGGAAAGAGCTGTCTGCATTTCAAACTAAGGGAGAGAGGGAAAGTAGGGGCTCTGTCTAGACTTGGGTGGAAGGAAAGTTGAGGATTTCAGGTTTGATAACCTCTTTTTCTATCTAGACTGGAAATGAGCATTTTAAGTATCCCACAGTTTTGTCATTTGAATACATTGTTACCCTATACTACAATTTTTCAGTTCCTTTTTTAGAAAAAAAAAATACTGATTTAATAAAGAAAAATACTCAGGTTGATAAAGAAAACTGTTTTTTCCTCCACAGATGGAATTTGGAGTTGTGTACAGTTGTGTAGAAGATAAGATGTATACTGGCAGGAAAGGAAAAGGTGCCTTTTGTAATGGCCAAAAACTGCAGGTTTCAAAACAAGAAGGTAGATTTGTCTTCTAATTTTTGGTGGAGTTGATTTTGTGTACTTATATTTTTTAAATGTTTATTTCAGACCCATACGTAAACCGGTTATATTTTATACATTTTAGGTAATAGTCTAAGAAATTAGAATCTTTGCTTATTAAAATCATCACTTGAAGATAAGTATATCAGTATTTTAACATTTAAGGCTTAGAAAGACATTTGATAAAGCTAGGAAGAGGTATTAAAATGTCCTATTATAGTTTGGATTGGAGATGTCACATTTTTGCTAGAATTCTAATATTAAAATCTAGTGATTATCTGAAACATTTCCTTTTCAGATATTACCAAATCACTCTTGGTGACTGAGTTGGGCTCTTCCAGAACACCAGAGACTGTACGAATTATTCTTTCTAACATGGAAAAGCTTTTTTCCATTCCCATTCATGGGTAAGCTCTTTTCATTTTCCAGACAATATAGGATTTTTTTAAAATAGTGTTTTTCTTTAGAAATTAATAATTTTTATTACAACACAGAATCAGTACCATAATTCTAATTTTGTAATGCAATTAAAAAATATTGTAGTTCTAGATGAACAGCATGTCTTTATTTTATTTATTTTCCTGTGGTGCTGAGTATCAAGCCCAGTGTCTTACACATGCTAAGCAAGTGCTCTGCCCCTGAGCTACCGCCTCAGCCCTTTGTAATACAATTTTGAAAACTTTTTGTAATATAATTTTGAAATTCTTTTGAATAATTTATACTTAACAAAAAGTAGAAGTAAGATGGTACAAAGAAAAATAGTATACTTTTTACCCAGATTCACCTGTTAACACTTTATCCCGCTTGCCTTACATTTTTTTTTGCCTTACATTTTATCCTGAGAGAGAGAGAGAGAGAGAGAGAGAGAGAGAGAGTGTGTGTGTGTGTGTGTGTGTGTGTGTGTGTGTGTTTCCTTGAACCATTTCAGAGTAAGTTACATACATTGTGGCTTTTTACTCCTAAATTTTTCAGTTTATTTCCTAGGAATAGGTATAGTTACTTTCTTAATAAATACATTTTTATCTAACTAGGGATCCAACCTAAGGCTGCTTAACCACATCCCCCCAGCCTTTTTCTCTTTTTTATTTTGAGGCAGGGTCTTGCTAAGTGACTGAGGCTGGTTTTGAACTTGTAATCCTCCTGCCTCAGGCTCCAGATGCTGGGTGTACCACCCACCTGGCATGGAGTTATATTGTTAAATGTCCATAAGGAGAAGGGTTTTTTTTTTTTATCATTTTTAATCTGTAGCTTTATTGAACTGTAATAATTTTTCATTAAAGGACCCACTAGAGTTTTCTGTGCCCTAGTCTGTGATCAATTTTTGTGAAGATTCCATATATACTTTTAAAAAAAGTATATTCTCTATTTTCAGGGTATAATATTTAATGCACAGCCAAAGCTCTATCTTAATCATATTATTTGTATTTTTGTCTATTGTCTTATATTGAGAATGTTGTGTTAGAGCCTTCTGTTAGTGTGTGTCTGTATTTCTTATGACTCTTGTGGCTTTTATATAGTTGGAAGATGTTATTTGATGCCTGTTTGTAATGGTTATACCTTCATTTTATAATTTTAATATTGTAAAGTATTCTTTGTCTTATTTTATGCTTTTTAGCTTGAAGTCTACTTTGACATCAGAATTGCCATCCCTGCCTTTTTACTGTTCCCATTTGCCTTTTAAATCTTTGTATACCACCCCCATTTCTTTTTAGCCCTCTTAAATTCCTGCATTTTAAATGCATCTCTTCTATACAACATAAGTGGAGCTTTTATTTATAAGTCAATTTTAAAATCTTTTGAATAGACAAGTGAGTACTATTGGTGAATTGATAGGACTATTTTGTTTGACCTCAATTCTGCTGTATTATCTAATGTTGTAATTACTGTGTATATTATTTATAGTTACAATGTTTATTTGGTAAGTTCTCTCTCCTTTTTTTTAACTTTCTTTTTGTATTTGTATAAAATTAAATTTTATTCTAGTGAACTTCTTGGGCATTAAAACTTTTTATGGTGACTTTAATATTCTTTTTTTCACTTATCCACTAACTATCTGTATAGGTCCCAAGATTTTTTTACTTCCATTTGTTACATATATAACAGAAATTTACTTTCTTTTCCCATTTTCTCAGTTTCTTCCCATTTTTAAGTTGGAATTCTTTCTACTTTGTCAAAACATCAATTTTATGTATTCTTCAATTCACAGTTCCATAAAACTTGGTAAAGTTTTCCAGTCACCTTTTGATTAGATGAAGTGCATCTTGTAGTAGATTCCTTGGAGAGGGCATGTATGCAGAGTATTTCTTGAATTTTGACATTTTCCAAACTCTTTTTCTGTGGCCTTGAAACATCAAAGGCAGCTTGGCTGGATATGAAAGTATGAACTAAGTTATTTCTTGAAAATGCTATTTCACTGTTGCCTTGCTTTTTGTATTGTTTTTGAATAAGATGTCAATCTAATTTTCTTGGCTTTTAAGTTATTTCATCTCACTGGAGGCTCTGAGAATCACCCTTTCCAGCCCCCCCCCCCCAAAAAAAAACCTTGAAGGCTAATATTTTTGTAAGGATTTATCTTAGAATAGCTCATTCTGGATTAGTTTTCTGTTTCAGTGTGTAGATTTATGTCTATTGCTGGAACATTTTCTTGAGTTAGATTTAAATGCCATTTCACTTCTGCTGTTCCCATTTTTTTTCTTCTAAGACACCAGTAGGAATGTTACATCCTTTGTGTCTTACATTTCACCATTTTCTCTATGTCCTGTTTAAATTCTTTCTTATTTTACTCGCTAAGTTTTTCTTTGGGAACCTTGTAATTTATTATTTGATTCTTATATAATGTGGGGTCACCCCACTTTTTTTTCTAAGTTTAATCATCTAGATTTTTTAAAAAAACTTTTTATTTATTTGGGTCCATTTCTGCTCTTGGTTTCTGTTTTTATGATTTAGCATTTTCTTTCATATTTATAAGTATTTGAGGATATTGATAGGATATTTAATTCAAATTGAATTGATGCTTTAGTTTTCTAAGATATTTATTTTTATATTTTTCCTTAATATTTTGGGCAGATCTGGAGGTTTGACGTTCTTTAACTTATTATAGGTTATGACTATATTAAGTATCATTTCTCTGACATTTATTGTAGTTAGTTTGAATGAAAAATCATGTGTAAAAAGCTATGGAATAATAGTATGTTTTTATGATTTTATTTTACTGCCAACTGTTCCTACCTTTCTACCTTTTTTCCCTGAAAATATTGTTACTTAACTTTTAAAACTCTTGGCACTAGTCAAAAAGATCATTAAATAAGCCATTATTTTGTAGGTCTAGTTGACAGAGGCACAGTGAGATGAAGTGGTTTTCTGAGATCAGACAGCTAGATGGAGATAAGACTACAACCCTAGCCTCTAGATCTTTCTCTTTCTCCAGAATTCGACTTCTCTTTTAGGAATCTAGACATTAAAAATATAGTTTGACCATGGTACAAACTGTCATTGTAGGCTGTAAATCTGTGGTCCATAATCGTAATGAGTAAAAGAATCACTGTCATGTGGCTGTAGAACCTCCCAGAATGTTTTCCTTCAGGCAGGAACACTGTGATTTTAAAAATCTATTGCCACAGCTCTTTTGAAGGAAGCACTTTAACATTGGACACTAAAATGTCTATGTTAGCCATAAAAAAGCCGCAAGTGTTTACAACTTTGACCATTTATTTTGCCATTGGCTTAAGTAAAATACAATTTTTACTTTAGGATGTTTTCAATAGTTTAACCAGGATATATATTGATTTACCAGGGATATATATTGATTTCTTTATTTTTATTTTTATATTTTTAATGGTCTGTGGATTCAGCTGATTCTTGATTGTGACTTCAGAATTACTAATACAAAACAAAATGAGACCAAGAGAATCATAATCTGGTTGAATGTCTTAAACAAAAAGAATAGTCTAATAGGTTGCTAACTAGGGAATACTGTTTATGAGAAATAAAGTAAAATGACTGTGGGCCAATTACCTTTATTTAATTTTGAGGAATTCATTTACTGTGTCTCTTGTAGATTGTGTTTGACAATGGTTTAGGGAAAGTTTCTTCATAAACATAACTATTTTTCACTAGACCTTTTCTGTGCTAGGCACTCTGTGAGTGCTTAACTTAGGGTATTTGTAGTCATTACAGTAGTCATCCAAGGTAAAATGGTATTGTTGTTTTGATATCCAGAAAGCTAAAATCAGACTTTTTCACAATTTTAGTGAATTAAGAATTGGGGTCATGGCCTTATTATTTGATAATCATATAACCTTTTTGGTAATCCTTTGAAAATATTTGTCCATAGAAGAATATGCTCTTCTTGACTCTTAAACTCCTTGCTTGAGAACTCAGATGTTCACTAGAAGAGGACCTAAGATTTACTAGTAGCCATCATAGCTGTTCTTCTAACTTGGGGTCAGTCCCTTAATGGAATATCAAAGGATTATTTGTAAAAGATCTTGGTGTGTTCTTTTCAGAGCATGAGATAACAATACCTTTACTATGAATTATATCCCATGTGAGAAGGGGAAAAAAACACCTTTATGAATTTTTTTTAATTAATATATTTTTTTTAGTTTTCTGTGGACACAACATCTTTATTTGTATGTGGCACTGAGGATTGAACCTGGGCTGCATGCATGCCAGGCGAGCATGCTACCGCTTGAGCCACATCCCCAGCCCTATGAATTTTTTTAAAAAAGTTTTTTTGAAAGATTTTGGTGGATAGAACTCACTGCCTTATTTCCAGATGTTAAATGATTAAAAAAGAGTTTTCAGTAAAAAAATTTGAAAGTAACTTGCAGACATGATGAATCTTTTTCTAAATACACACAAACATATCCATTTCTTTAATAATAAAAGGAACATTCTATAACATAAAAATGGTAAAAATATTTATAAAAATTAGGGAATTTGGCTGGGTGTGGTGGTACACAACCTGTAATCCCAGTGGTCTAGGAAGGTGAGGTAGGTGAGGATTACAAGTTCAAAACCAGCCTCAGCAACTTATGGAAGACCTAAGCAACTTAGCAAGACCCTGATTCAAAATAAAAAAAAATAAAATGGGCTAGGGATGTGGCTTAGTGCTTAAGCATTCCGGAGTTCAACAGTACACCCCCACCCCCACCCCCACCCCCGCCCGCAAAAAAATCAGTGAATTAACTTTGATGCATAACCTAATATAGAAGTCTTATTCAAAATTTGAAACAATTCTAAACCAAGGTCCATTTCAGGAGCATGCATTGCATTTAGTTGTCCTTTCTCCTCAGTTTTCTTTAGTGTAGAACATTTGCATAGTCTTTGTCTTTTTGATCTTGAATATTTTTAGAATTATAGGCCACATGTTTTGTAGTTTGTCTCCTTGCTTGGGTGGGTTTGATTTCCTCTTGTTTGTTTAGATTCTGCATTTTTTGGCAAGAATGCCACAGAAGTTTTATCTTCTTTTCTTCTTAAGGCTTCTTATCAGGAGGTACATGGTCCTGTTTTCCATTGTGAATGTTAACATTGATACCTTGGGAACTGTAGAACATTATAAAAATGATATTTTTCCTGTTGCAATTATTATGTGTCTTGTGGGAAGATACTTTGATACTACATAAACATCAAACTTGCCCGTTAATTTTGGCATAGTTTTTCTTTTGTTTAAATTAAAAATTTTTTTTTGTACTGGGGGCTAAACCCAGTAGCACTCTACACTGAGCTATATCTCCAACCCTTTTTATTTTTTATTTTGAGCCAGGGTTTCACTAAGTTACTCAGGCTGGGCTCAAACTTGTAATCCTCTTGCCTCAGTCTCCTAAGTCATTAGGATTATAGGTGTGCTCCACTGCTCCTGGCATTAATTTTAGCTTTTTTTGATTCTGTCATGACTCAGTTAATACTATAGTGGCTATCAAGTAGTACCAGTACTTATATCTTAACTTGGTATATTTCTAAGGAAGAGTTACTGTGAGAAGACAAACCCAAAGTAATCTTCCATGACAGGCCGAGGTCTCTGCAGATTCCAGACAAGCCTAATATTATTCCTTCAGATACATGTGTGATGCACACCCAGTTGGGATGACCAATAGCATGATGTTTTATATCTCCTAAAGACTATTTACACTATAGAGCGAGTGTGTGTGTGTGTGTGTGTATGTGTATGTATGTAAAATAAACTAGTGCCTAGGTTTAGACATGTGAATATACATGAATGCTATCATAGTAGACTTTCAGTGTATTCTTCAGAATTTTTTTTCCTGAAAAAAATCCTTGTTTTTATCTTATTAAATGATTGCTTTGTGAGGATTAGTTTTTTGATTTATATAGTACACCAAGATAATTAAATTTTATGTCTTTTATTTCAAAATCAGAGACCACTGTTTTTTACTTGTATCCTCTAGATGGTTCAGGTTGTCTGTCAACACTTAAAGTAAACTGAAAGTAAGGAGGAATACAGTATTTGAGAGGACGATTTTTCCAATCTTATTTTCAAATGTTAGAATCCGGAGCGTTGGAACGGCAGCTATTAATATGTGCCTTGTGGCAACTGGAGGAGCAGATGCATATTATGAAATGGGAATTCACTGCTGGGATATGGCAGGAGCTGGCATCATTGTTAGTGAAGCTGGTGGAGTGCTAATGGATGTAACAGGTAAAATTATGGGAAATAAAGCATTTTTCTGTGTACTTTCCTCTCCATATAGGGTTTTAAAAAAATGTTTGATACATGTTAAATTTTCAGCTTTTAAGGCAAAAACAAGCTATACAATTTGATGCAAAGTCTAAAAAATAGTAGATAGAAGCAAGGATTAGAACTAATGGTAATGTTCGACTAACAGTGACAAATGGCTATACCCCTTCAAGTGTATAGGAACTCTTGAGAGGCTGTAGAGAAAGTCTAGGCAGTCATTGGATTTGAGGCTCTACCAAGAGCTTTGTGAATGGTGACCATGGTGATAGATGACAGTAGACTTCCTTCATTATCATTTTCTACTTTGGGCCTAAAGAGGTTTAATAATACCTCCTTTGAGCTGAGAGCAAAATGTTTAAGGAATGAATTTGGGTTTAAGGAGTTCCCCAGTGACCTGGGGAAAAAAGCAGCAAAGAAATAGGAAATGAGAAAGGACAATAGTATGAAAACGTGTTGAAGTCAGATTCTTTTCCATAGATCTCAAACAATGAAAAGGTAATAAGCATGCACAAAAGAGAAAAAGAGAAAAGAAGACATTTTTCAGATTGGTATGAATTGAGATCCACCTTTACCCTGGTATTTACTCAAAATGCTTAGAGATTCAGTCATATACTGTTAAGTTTAAACATTATAATTATCTGACAGTAGTTTTTTTTAAAAAAAACTGAACATATTAAAATGTTAAGGTTGTTCATGATATATATAACTATACTTGTTTTTTTCTGAATTATTTTTATACAGGTTATAACTGTTTTCTCAATCTGATTTTAGGTGGACCATTTGATTTGATGTCACGAAGAATAATTGCTGCAAATAGTAAAGCATTAGCAGAAAGGATAGCCAAAGAAATTCAGATAATACCTTTACAAAGAGATGATGAAGATTGATTACAATAGCCTTGTATTCAGTCACAATTGCTTTCCCCAGATTTGCTGATGCACTGATGGATATCTGTTTCGGATATAGGAAGATATGATTGATTAAATTGTCTTTGATGTCCTGATTTTAAAATGGAAACTTTTTCCATAGAATAAGTATGCAAAAATAGATGTAATGTTTGTTTCATTGTTTTGAACAATTTTGCCTGTAAGAATATACTTTGGGAAAAATAAACAGGATTTTAGTTCATGAACTATCAATTAAAATTGTCGATTAGTAGTTTGTTTCTAACTATGATCCTCTTGTTACTTGCAATCCTCCTGCCTCACCTTCCTTAGTCACTGGGATTACAGGTGTGTGCCATCATGCCTAATTTGAATTACTATTTGTATATATAAACACTCAATTTAAAAGTTACCTTTTTGGAAAAAATTCTATTTGTTTCAAAAGCCATACCTTAAGAATATAACAACTACTTAGATTAGGTTTTGTTTCTTTCTTGGCAGAAAACCTTGTTTGTTTTATCATCACTGTACCTGTAGTACTTAGCAAAGTACCAGTCAAATATTAACATATCCAAAATAAACATTGTAAAACATATATTTAACTTTTTTGGTTGGTACTGGGGATTTAATCCAGGGATGTTTTACCTCTGAGCTATATACCCTGTCCTTTTTACTTTTGATTTTGAGATGGGGTCTCATTAAGTTGGTGAGGGTCTTACTAAGATGCTGAGGCTGGCCTCAAATTTGTGATCATCCTGCCTTAGCCTCCCAAGTCACTGGAATTTACAGTAGTGCTCCACCATGCCTAGCAAGAATGAATGTTTTCAAGCAGCATTTCCTTGTTATAATAGATACATAAGTAATGAGCTCATTGTTTATTTTTGCTTCAAGTTGGAGTAAAAATTATTATCCTGTTTTATATTTCGTATTACTACATCATTTCATTTTGCTATACCATCAGATAGTGTTGCTTATTGTGGGCATTTCTGCAACTAATGTATTTTCCAAAGCACATGTTATATCATATGCTTGGATTCCCTGTATGTATTCTCTGTGAAAGAGACAAGAAACTTTAGAAAGCTCTCATCAGGTATCCGAGTAGATATAGTATAACATTTTACTATATTTAATATTCTTATAAAGATGTAGACACCGATTTAATTGTGCTAACAAATACACTGTTGATACTTAATTATTTGATTCCTTCCCAAACTCTATATTTAATTTCATTGCTTCTAAATATTTAATAGCCTTTAGCCTATCAAACTCAACAAGAAAATTATATTGGTTCGTAGACATATTTAAAGGATTAATTTATTGTTTAGTCTTTTCCCTTGGCATTTAACAGATTGTTATGTTTTGTTACAGGTGCATATGAACCTTGTAATTGATAAAATGAAAAGTGCTTGTATACAATTTTCAAGATAGGGCCTAATCTCATTGTTGGGTATATATGATACATTAAATCTGTATGTTACTAACATTTGGGTATTATAATTACTGTATTTATACTGTTAGTTACATGCACTTAAAACATCTCATACTATGTAATTCTGAGACAGGTTGTTTTTTTCAATTAAGTTTATTTTAATTAAAATGACTTATGAATAAAACTTTAAAGATGTAGCTGATATTAACATTATTAAAGTTTATAGTTTAAACTAATTTTAGGAGTTCTGTGGTAAATTACAATTATTTGAAATTTGCCATTATGATTGAATGTATACTCTTAGTGACTAGAAGTTTTTAGATATTGAAAATGGATTGTTTGCAAGTGGATTATCCAATAATAATTGGAAGATGTTTTTGAGTAGCAGAACTTCTTTGATGGACCTGACATCTATGTTACAAGCAGGGTATATTACCTATCTGTATTTTTATCTTCCAATGCATCCATTAACTTTTTTGGGTACTTTGTTCTTATTCATTGACTAAATATGTTATTCTTCATAGTATTTTTTTATAATATAAATATTTTGTCCTCTGCATTTTCCTTTTCAAATTACTCATTTTCAGATGTTTTTAATGTATGTTTCTTTTCTTGGTCTCTTACCTTTTTGGGGGTGGGGGAGGGATACCACAATTGAACTCAGGGGCACCCGACCACTGAGCCATGTCCCAACTTTATTTTGTGTTTTGTTTAGAGACGAGGTCTCGCTGAGTTGCTTAGCACCTCTCTAAATTGCTGAGGCTGGCTTTGAACTCACAATCCTCCTGCCTCAGCCTCCCAAGCTGCTGGGATTACCACGCCTGGCAGTCTCTTACATTTTTGAGCATCTTCAACTTTCTGATGATGGTCCCTTGTCTTGAGATATATATTCAAATGAGTGGGATGCATGTAAGGTTTTATTTATGAGATCTATAGCCTTAAGTTCAAGGCAGGGAAACTAAGTAAAATTGATTGGTAGAAATAAAATGACTATATAGTCATTTTTAGTCTATGTAACTAGAAAATCCAAAAGAATCTACAAGCAATCTCTTAGAATAAGTAATGTCAATATAGATAAGGTTACTACAACTGCATTTGTGTAACTGGCAAAACATAAGAGAATTTAATGTAGACACCATTTACAGGAATATAAAAAGAAGCCATCAGATACTTCGCAGTGGTGCACATTCCAGCTCTGCACAGAAAAACTAGCAAACATTACTGAGAAGAAAAATTTAAAGATCTTACTATTAGTAAAAATAATATGTTTATGGTTTGAAAAACTCCACATTGCTCAAATATCAATTCTTGCTAAATTGATCTAAAGATTCAGTACATTCCCAAATTCTCAATAACGTTTGAGGGAATTAGGTATGTTAGGCATCTTTCAGTCACTAAAACAAAATAATCTGAAATAATTAGCATCAAAAGAAAAGGTTAATTTTGGCTCTCAGTTTTATACGTTCAATCTATGAATGGTTGTCCCCACTGCTTTGGGCCTGTGGCAAAGCAGCACATCAGGGAAAAGGATATGTTGGAGCAAAATTGCTCACCTCTGTGGCCAGGAAAAAAAGGAAAGGGGAGAGTCCAGGCTCCTAAAATCCCCTTTGAGAACACATCTCCAGTGGTAGAAAGACCTTCCACTAGGCCTCACCTCTTGAAGATTCCTCCACTTCCCAATAATGCCATCCTGAGGACCAAGTGTCTAACATGGGCCTTTGGGAGATAGTCAACATTCAAACTAGCAGGAGATAAAATGAGACAGTTAGGGCTCGGTTGTGGCTTAGAGGGAAAGCGCTTGCCTGGCATGCGTGGGGCACTGGGTTCGATCTTCAGTACCACGTAAAAATAAAATAAAGGTATTGTGTCTACCTACAATTAAAAAAAAAAGTAAATACTTTTTTAAAAAATGAGAAGGTTAACAACTAATGGAAATGTGGAGAGCCAGAGCAGATATAACTGAAAGCAAAAGAGCAAAGTGAGAAGACTGTTGCATCTTATACAAAACACCATTTCATTCTAGTAATGTTATGACTGCTGTTTTTGTTTGCTTTTCAAGACTCAGAACTCTAATAGTGACACTAGCACAAATCTAGATAAGCATGTCAATAAAATACATACACAGCCACCTAGTTTATAAAAAGTGGCCGCACAGTGCAGTAAAGAAAAGGCTGGTATTTTCAATACATGGTGTGGATGTCCATATTAAAGGAGGAAAAATATTGATCCTACTGCACCATGTACGCACATCAATTCTAGATGGATCATAAAACCTAAATATCAAAGAGGGAAAAAGCCAGGTACAGTAGTGTGTGCCTGTAATCTCAGCTTTGCAAGTTTGAAGCCAGCCTGGACAACTTGGTGACACACTATCTCAAAATATTAAAAAGGCTGGGGATGTAGCTTAGAGGTACAATGCTTGCATACTGTGCCCAAGGCCCAGGGTTCAATCCCGAGTGCCGGTTAAAGATAAAAACAATACTTCTAAAAATATTTTCATTTCCAAAATATTTATTTCTCCCAAAAGGACTCCTAAAGCTTCCTGAACTTGGTAGGCAAAGAATTGGTAAACAGTAAACACAAAAACATGAAAGGAGGATTAAGATGGGCATGGCGGTCCATACCTGTAAGCCCAGTGATTCAAGGCTTAGCAAGAGGATCTGAAGTTTGGGGCCAGCCTTGGCAATTTAGGGATACTGAAAAAAGGAGGGAGAGAAGGAGGGTTGATGATTTGAGCTACATTAATAATTCTGTCATCAAAATAGGACCATTTAGAGAGAGATTCAGAAGCATAACCCACAGAGTTTGCAATATAGAGACAAACTACTGAATGTATGACCTCCACATATTAACAAAGATAATCCAATTCCAAAGCAACTATGTATTTGATACATATACATACATATAGAGTATGTATTCATACTCTATAAAACAATATATTAAAATATTATCAGTCATAAAATCAAAATAATAAAGTTGTATGACTACATACACAAGAATGGCTAAACTAGACAAAATCCAGCAGCAGCACATAACCCCCTGATGACATCAAAATCAAGGCGCTTTACCACATGAATAGAGGTGATCTTGCCCCATGATGTAGTATCTTCACTTCTTGGTACATACCTAACGTATGCATACTTTTGTCCACCAGCTATATTCATGCAGCATTATTTGTAATGGCCCCAAACAGAAAACAATCCAAAAGTTCATCAACAACAAAATGGATTTAAAAGGGTGTGGAATAGTCACATAATGAATGCTATGAAGCACTGGAAGATGATGACAGCTACACAATAATGTGAATGAATTCCAATCTGGCTCTACCTCTTTCTCCAATGGTTCTACTCTTTTTGAAGTCACCAGTGATGTCTTTGTTTACAGAAGCCAAATCTTTTCTGCCTTTAATTTAATTGACCTGCAGTTTTTCCCATTTGGTTGTCTCTGTGTTTTTTTATTCTTTTTTAAAAAAATGTATTCTAATTTGTTATATATGATGGCAGAATTCAATTCACTTCATATTACACAAACGAGCACAATTTTTTCATGTCTCTGTTGTACACAAAGTAGAGTCACATCATTCATGTTTTCATACACGTACTTAGGGTAATGATGTCCCTCTCATTACACCGTCTTTCCTACCCCATGACCTCTCTCTTCCCCTCCCTCCCCTTTTCCCTATCTAAAGTTCTTCTATTCCTCCCATGCTCCCCACCCCCATCCCCATTATGAATCAGCATTCATATTATCAGAGAAAACATCAGCATTTGGTTTTTTGGGATTGGCTTACTTCACTTAGCATGACATTCTCCAACTCCATCCATTTACCTGAAAATGTCATGATTTTATTCTCTTTTATTGCTGAGTATGTATGTATATATGTATGTATGTATGTGTGTGTGTGTGTATATATATATACACACACATATATATATATATATATATATACATACATACATATATATATCACATTTTCTTTATCCATTCATCTACTGAAGGGTATCTAGTTTGGTTCCACAATTTAGCTATTATGCATTGTGCTGCTATAAACATTGATATGGCTGTGTCCCTGTAGTATGCTGTTTTTAAATCTTTGGGGTATAAACCAAGGAGTGGGATAGCTGGGTCAAATGGTGGTTCCATTCCCAGTTTTCCAAGGAATCTCCATACTGCTTTCCAGTTTGGTTGCACCAGTCTGCAGTCCCACCAGCAATGTAGGAGTGTACCTTT